TACATTACAGAAAATAGTTGACAAATGCAACATGAATACTCAAATGGGTATGCTAATCATATTACAAATTATCGTGATTCGTTGAAATGATATATGGGTCTTCTTGACAGGGGTGAACGTAAGTGTGTTTACAAAGTATACCCGTGAAGAAACATATATAAAAAATAAGAAAACTTGTTCGTCTACATACATGTATTTATTTAAAATAGTGAGCACTTCTCGCAAATTACCAACCTCTACAATTATCATTTAGTTTTTGGTAAAAATACAACTAATTTGTCATATATATAAAACTTCTTATTGTGTTTCCTTCAAGTCACACAAGTCCCATATAGTGGTTGCAATGCCCATTGATCAGTAGACTGCGTTACCGGGTCTACTAAATATTAAAATTACTATTTGCAAAGATAAGATCAGAAAATTTCACGTACAATGTTATTAAAAATAACCACAAATACACACATTTGTATATGCAAATATTTACGATTCCGTGACTTTTGGCAAAGCCTGATACCATTCTTGTGCGCGTGGGGATAAATATTTTATCGCCAATTCATTCACGTCTTGAAACACCTTTCCAGGCAATGGTTTTAATTCTCTACTAAGAGTATGTAAATGACAATCTGTTATTCTTGTCATTTGCTTAATTTTCCTGAACGACACAACAATCGGAGTTTCTTTCGGATCAAGAGTCTTACGCACCCAGGCTGTTTCCGGATGAGAAAATGTTTTGACAGTACCATCAATTAATCGTTCACCAATTCCAAAATTAAAATAGTGAGCCTCGTCAAACGAAAATTTGATTCCGTTGACATCTTTGTACCTGTATGTAAACTCATTTTTTAAGTATGAAGAATAATCATAAATGTCATCAATTGTCAACAGTTTGGCTTTATAGTGGCCCGCAAATGACGACTGTTCTATCACATTTAACCAATCTGTAGGAAGCTCTATGACATCGTGTTTCCGTGAATTCTTTTCAATCAGCCCAAAGTGACGATCTGCAAAGCTGTATGAATGTCCCTCTAACAGCGTTTTATAATCTATTCGCTGGAAAGTTCCCTGGTCATTTAAACTCTGAAGATACCACATAAATTTATTGTTTAAACATTCACCTGCAAATGGCAAAAAAGAAAGTCAGGAAAGACAAACTTGTCACTCAATGCCCGAAATTATTGTCTAGCACAAATATACTATATATAAAAAAGATATTCACCTGGATGGTTATCCGAACTCAAAATAGCATGCCGTGAGGTTATATTCTGTTGCACGAGAAGGCTTTGGAATGCAGAGATGATTTCATTTGGACCTTTACCTCCGTTCATTTCATCCCAAAGAAAACAATGAAAAGTTCTTGTCTTAGCAACGTCCACTCCAAGACATCTCAGATGTAATTTACTGCGAAAGTGCCAGTCTTGAGTGGAGACCTAGTGGTTGAAATAAACAAATAGATCAGATAAGGCACTAGATATGATATATCGTCTATGAACGGTAATTCGAATCATCAATTTTGGTCAGCTGAGGAAAGCAGGGATCGATATGATATCAATAATTTATCGACTGTTTAAATATGGAAATTTACGACCGATATTAGATCGATATTAGACAGGCTTGATGTTGGGTCTTAATCAGGATTTTTTGGAATCGCGAGCTCCCTGATAAACATATGGTACTATAATCTATAATTATCAAATTATCCGATAATAAAAAAAAATAAGCAATATCCCACCTTCATGCTAGAATTATTTTATATGAAGTAATCTAAATCAAATTCTATGTGAAGTAATCTAGATAACAACATGAAAGTGTACGGCATTATAGAGAGCATGTAATTTAACATTAAAACTAATATGTCTTACCTTTGGACATGGAAGGCTTTTTGAGAAATCTAAGTGAAATACAGCAACGTCATTCGTTGAACAAAAATTATCCATCTTTAGTTCCGACAAGCAAGATGTCTGTTTCCAACTAACCACCACGCATTTATATTGCAGAGCAAGTGGTTCGTCTTCTGTAACATAGTGCCCTCCCTCGGCGGTTGAACACATGATGAGATCAAATTCAGTCCGCTACGAAAATACTTCGGGAATTTCCCAGTTTTGTGTGTCGGGTGGTTTCATTGCCAAAACTGTAAAATCGTAATTTATATTACCATAATGTGTTTCGGCAATTGACAAATGATCCTGTAGGGCCTTCTGGAAACGCCGTTTGTCCTCGGTCGTTCTTGCATATTTAATTTTTTTGGCCATCACATCACATCGCTGACAAGTATCTCGCCGAGGCCGTTTAAAATGGATATCAATGTTTTTTAAAACGTGTGTTCGAAAAGTTGAAAAGGAAACGTATCGTCTGTTATTATTTCGTTGTTTCTTCAGATAATCGCGATAGCAACTACTATACTATTTGAAGCTGGCATATATTTTGTTTCAGTGTTTCCATATTACATATGGGGGGATTCGAATGTATAACTTG